TTGTCCATTAGAAGCCCCAGAAGCTGTGCCAGTGAGAAAAGGTGCGACCAGGTGAATGATACACCACCTGACCTCCACATGTCATGAGTCCACTACAGCAGTGACAGCCCGAGAAGGGGAGCCAGAACAAGCTTGTGAGCTTGACCAGGATCGCACCTTCATCCTCGAAAGGAATGAACCCTTAGGTGTTTTCTTTTGTCTTTTTTTTTCTTTCCTTTTTTTGGAAGTATGTTGCCTCATCTCCTCCCCGTCCTCTGCAGTGAAGGTCACAGATTCTATCCGTGTCTTAACTTATGTCCCCCTTTTTACGTACAGCTGTGTGAAATGGGCATCATTAGATGGTGTGTGAATAGGCTGCTAATTTTTTCTTTTATTCACCGAGTTTTATACGAACAGCTGTAATGATGCTCTCCTCTCATCTGTGAACATCTGTCTTTACAGTTGATTCCTAATCACCAATCTGGAGGCCCCTCCCCCCTGTAAACTTCAGTCTTTTCTCCTCCTCCTGAACAAATGTAAATGTATATTTTCAAAGAACATTTGAACCGGTCTGCCTTACTTTGACGGATGTTTCTTTCACATCAAATGCTGAGGGAATAATGCAGAAGCACTTTAAATATTTGGAGCACTCCAAATAGAAAATGATTGGATACTTGGTATCAGCTTTCCCCATTTTGATCAGTTACATGATCCTTTGTTTCATTCCTGTACAATAACATTTATAGCCTGTAGATTTTAAGATATTTTTCTTGACCAAAGACGATTTCATAGGTTTGAACATGAACTTGAAGAAATTAATGTATTTTGAATACAAATGGTTTAAAAATGGAGATAAATAAGATGAATATATATATAAATATAAATATATATATGTTTGGTTTATGTGTACGTTTTTGCTAACATATCCTTTACTTTTTAGTGACTTAAGGCAAGCAGTTTGCATGCGTTCAGTTTTGAATCCTGATAGCACGACTGTAGTGAAGAGTTGTATTTCCCTGTGATTGTGAATCGTATCGGTACGGTGTGCGTCAGATCTGTGCTGTCGTGTTGAGAGCCTTGAAACCTAATTAACAGTGGCTTATGTAAGAAATGATGTTCGACCTGCAGAGAGGAACCAATTGGAATAACAAAATCGCCCCTGTCTTTCACGCTTTAGTCCAGACAATCTCCGCCAGTGCGCACGTTATGTCCTCCTTCTTTACTATCGCGGCTCCAGCTGTTCTGTTTCATCGTCTGTAGGGAATTTGCTTGAAATGTGGCACAGCTGTTTGCCACAGCGCTCTGCTGCAATGACCAGTAGAGAAACGTCTGTGTAGTAAAGGGAAAAAAATGATGTTTTTACAAACTGTCAGACTCTTAAAGTTACTCATATTCTAGCATGCATGTCCTGCAGGAGTAGGGTTGCATCAGATGAACAAAGCAATAGCAAATAATCAAGATTGATTGCGTAAAATAGAGATTATCAAATTTACTTTGTGGGTCTTACTCCATTTTAATTTAATTCAGTTTATTGTTTGTAACTGACACAAACTAGCTACTCAATTTTATTTTTTAAGCGGTAACCAGCAAAATTTCCCCCCAGTTAGGCTGATTTTGATTATCAGTTGGTGGATTGTTTTTTTTTGTTGTTGTTGTTTTGTTCATTTTTTTCCCTCTGAAAGAACCAGTGAACAATCACTTTGATTCAGTCTTGATTTTTGACTTCTTTTTTTGTTCCTTCCTGTGGTTTTGAGTCTGCTTCCCATTTGAACGATGAAGTGTTGAATAGAGACAAAATTACTTAAAGTGGACCTGTTATGCTTCTAAATTCTCTCATATACTTACAGGTTTAATTGTGGGTGCTCATATAAACAAGTGTATGCAGAGTTAAAAGTTCACACTGCTCTACATTCACTTTTTCAGAGGTTGTTTTGTTGTGTTTTTTCTACTCATGCATGGTAATGATGTCAGAGAGTGGATATCCCCTTATATGGTCATCTCAGCTCCATATAGGGGGATATCTAGGGCATCCAATCAGAAGGAAGGATTTCACAAAGCCTTAAAGAGACAAGCGCTCAAACAGGTTATTTTAGGTAGACGATCAAATGAGAAGAAATACAAACATGGAGCAGTGAAAGAGCATAACGGGTCCCCTTTGAACATCTAAAGTTTAAACATTGAATGCTGATATTACAGGGTTAACTGTGTCTTTTCTTTTATTTGTCTGTGATTGTTTTCATGAGTTGTGTCTTTGGTCCATTATCTATTTCTAACTTGCATGTCTTGTACATTTAACAATATATTTTTCTAGGAAAATGTTTTGTACCTTTTTTTTTCTCTCTTTTAAACACTGATTTTAATGTATTACTCAGCTGGTACTTTTGTTCTCAGTCTGTCGACTTCGTCAAGGCTGGATGCTTTCTGTTTTTTTTGTTTTGTGTGTGTTTTCTATCCCCGTGCGCACTCCTTATTGGCTCCTCGCGGCCATAACTCCCTCTCGTTGAAGCTGATTAACACAGTGTTACTGCGGTGAATGTCGCGTGTTCACGTGCACGTCAGTAGTGAACAACGTGCCTGATCGGAGCCAAAATAAAACTGTAAAGTGATTTCACGCCGATTCGGTTGATGGACTTTGCTTATGATTTGAGTGACGCTGAATAAAAACAAATCTCTGGTACAAACTTCGACATCTGGATCTGAATCGGAAAGCTAGCGTAGAATCAATTCTTGTTGTATCGCATAAGCTTGCATGCTAACTCCATTGCTAGTTTTAATAAGGCCAGTAAACTAGAGGGTGGTGTGGTGGTGTATGTGTGCTTATTTTCATAAAACGTGAACAGGGAGGGGTTGTTTTAATCTATCTGATTTTAATAAGGGAAGTTTCTTCATTTGTTTGTTGTCATAAACGGTCTCTATGTGGAAACATGTGACTTTCCTGTTGGACTACAGCCAGCTTCATTTCATAATTACCAAACAGGAAGGGAAATGTCCATATGTGCTTTGATCTATCAGGTGAACACAGGGGAAATTAAAGTATTAGCCAACATGCAGATCTGATATGAGTTTCCGAGCTCATAAGAAGGACCAAAATCTGATATCACTGCAGTTTGTTTTTGCAGGTGTATCTGAAACAATCATATTTTTTTTTCTCCTGCCAATCAGATTGTTCTGTGTCAAAGCAGAGTGTGAGTGCAGATGATTGTCTGAAGGCTTTGTAGAATTTTTCTTTCTTTCTTTTTTATTTTTTTTTAAGCTAAAGTCTCTTCTTGCCTCTTCTTGTCCAGTAAACGGTGAGCGGTTCGATGTTATCGTCACATCTCCAGCTCGTTTCTTCTGAATGTCTGTTATTTTTATACACATTAAACATTTTATTTTTCCATAAATGGTCTATTCTGTGTCTCTTCATAATAAAAACACTTTGCCAGTGCCTCTTCTGTTTGTTAGGTGTCTGTTTTCCTACTGCGCTGATGTGACCTGCGTACAGTGTCCTCCATGATTCAGACAAAGAAACAAGTTGTGTAATTTTGCGTATAACTTGCTAAAGGTTTGCAATTGGATTCAGGCCTATAGCAAATTGAGGGCCAGCCAATGGCACCAATGTTTTCAACGTGAAGGAACCACCAACGGTCTATGGGCTCGTTAGGCCGGGCACCAGGAGCGACCCAGGGCTCACTGTGCCAACTTAAAGTCTGACAGTCGAGATTATTATCTCCATAATAACAGCGTCAGGATACTGTTGGCTAGCAAGGAGGGATTGCATAGATGGGCTGCACCAATAAGACAAATTCTGCTGAATTAATTTCTCATCCCGACCTTAAAATATGTTGGACCCTCTCGCCACCCTGTTTCTAACAGCGTGCTCCTGCTGTTTTTCCTCTCACAAAGGAGCGTTTACCTGTCCTGCTGCTGGGTTGATACCCGTCTAAAGCCCTATGCCACAGCTTGTGCCCTTGTGTCCTCCACACTCTTGAGACTTTGAGGAAGATGCAGCAAAAACCTTCTTCTTGGACTACCTGTGCAACCTGAATAGGCTGCAGGTATCATCTCATGCCCTCTAACTGTAGAAAGTTAGTTTTTAGACCGAGGCTAAGCTGGCTTTGTGGCAAATTGTGATGACCGAGCTTGACGTTTGTACAGTTGGAAATGTTGATCTTAGCTTAGCATAAAAGATGGAAACTAGCTTGGCTGCCAGGAAACACTTTAAAAGTGTTGGTAGCAGGACTTTTATTACTTTGGTCTGAGTCCAGATACCTGTTTAACCTGTTTACCATACAAGTAAGGCACGCTTTAACTGCCTGTGCTCAGCGCACATCTGCGAGATCCTGATAAGCTGGTGTGATTTTGCCAAGGTTGCTAAGGGTAAGAGCTAATAACCAGTAAAAGATAATAAACATCAAACATGAAAGACATGTTTTCGCTCCTCTGGTGGGGAGGGGGCAAGTTTTGAATGTCTCTGGGTGGAAAAATATTTGGGTTTAGAGGATTGAATTTATACCACAGCGTGAGATGTCCTCACCTTACAAAGAGCTCCATCTGTAAAGGTAGACGCACACTCAGACAGGAGTTTAAGGTTAAATACACAGATCATACAGGATGCTGCTTTGTGGTCCCTGAAGTGCGTGTGCAGTCTTTCTATGTGTTGCACTTCTTACGTGTGCATCTCCTGCTCCAGCTACACCACAGAGAGGGTGAAAACACCCAAATAACGTCTCCCTAACTCTCACATCCCCCTTTTTTACTTCAGAGCTGCTGTAATTCTTCATGGCACAGACTCAACTGCTGGAAACATTCCTCAGAGATTTGAACAGTGTTATAAAAGGCAGTTAACACAAATATCAGACCACTGAGTGTAATAGTGAAGCTGCTATTGGCTATAAAAACCTCACAGACAGTTAAATAGAATATACGATTATTACAATCTGTCACAAACACTCCACCCTCTCGCTTTGTCCTCCTGTTAAACCGAGCTGCGGCGAGTAAAACTGTCTGTTGTAATTTAAATAAACCACACTGATCTGTTTCAATCTGTTTATTCATCATCGAGTAATATCAGCAATATATCTTCTATGAGACATTTAGGTCACGCAAAGTTTTAACTGCCTGGTGTCTGGGGAAAAAAAGAAGCCTTTTACGCACAAAGTCCACAATGAAAAGATTTATAGGACAAAGCACTGCATTTGCAAACATTTGACACTCAAGGGCTTTAAGTAAGCTGTTTTCTTCTTTGGATATAATGTAAAGTAGCTGCAGACGCTTTCCATTAAACTTCTGCATGTCCGCTTTAAGCTGCATTTGCTGTTTAAAATGCACCCAACAATAACGAAGCATCTTCCCGTGAATCTGCTGCCCACACAGACATGCCGTGGGATCTGCAAGGCGGCACGCCGGCCAGTGGGGCGAAGGGAGGCGGGTTGGCCTTCTCTGCTGAAGAGCAAAACGACGATCCTCCCTGGGAGAGCAGGACAAGGGAAAAGAGACATTAACCACAGACTTCACGGCTTCTGAGTGAATACTCACACTTTTCAAATAAATTATTAGTTTTATAACCTGTTATGTTATAAAAAAGAAACCAGCTGAAGCATTGTAGAGCCTACCCGGTCCCTTTTGATGCATTTGAGTTTAAAAACCCCGACTCGAGGCCCCCTTTTTCACGGGCCTTCACAGACAGCTCGTTGTTTCAGTCGAACTGTTGTTTAAGATCAAACCTGCAGAAGCCTTGTTAATTGTTCCGATGGAACATTCAGCATTATTGGTTGTAAACACGTGGGTTTATTTTATTAAGATGCAGCCAATAAATTGCTCTGATGTGGGTGGTCAACAGAGCTGCGGTTCGTGGAAAACACTAGGTTTCTGGATTAGAAAGGGCCCGTGAAGATTTAAAACAGAGCTTTGGCTTCCCCTGATTGTTTTCCACCTAAACACTTGTGTGTGGCCTTCTCAAAAAAAGAAAAATAATGAATTTCCTCATTTATTTTAAACTTATAATCTCCTTCATACTAGCTAACTAACACTTCTCCAAGCACAATTAATAGACCGAAACTCCACGATACTAAAAAAAACTGAACGCAGTGCTGTGTTTTAAATGTGAACAAACAAGATTTGCAGCTGGATTTGGATCAATCAGAACCACAAATCATGCAAATCAAAGCACACTTCTTTTTGAAATGTGCTGCTGGAAACGATGTGACATTACTGTGGTTGTCACTAAACACTTGCAGGTTCACCTCTGAGTGTGTTCCTATCAGAACCAGCTGCCCTCGTGTCTTTTCTGCGCCTGCCTCTTATTCCAAATTTAAAATCTCTAAATCCTTGTTGTCTGTGTGACGTCATTATTATGGCTGAAATCAAATCGTTACTAGATGCTATTATTACATCATCTTAGTCATGATCTTTGAGCTCTTTCGGGGTACACTACATTCAAAACAAACTTGTATCTGTAGTGAAAATCACAGCATGACCTTTAAAAAACATTCATACTGAACAGGAATTTATTGCTGTATCCACAATGAACGAATGCCAACATGCAAAGAAACAAGAAACACTACTGCCTGCACTGGGCCTCAGTGAAGGATGCAGATCTGTGAATGACTGTAAGAATAGTTTTTCAGGTAAAAGTTTAAAAGCGGTCTTTGATATCTCAGCAGCCGATCCTTAAAGTCTTCAACTTGTTTTTGTGACACATCTGTCAGATGTTTGGTTGGATTGAGATGTAAAGAATTTTCCTTTTTTCCTCAAAGCAAGCAACACCATTGCTATGATAGGCACGGTCTGCAGAAGTGTTTAGGTGAGTGGTCAGCACCAAGGCATGCAGAATGCTTCTACAAACATTTGTGAAAGGATGCATCGCTCTCAGGAGCTTAGTGAATTCCAACAAGGTACCATGACATCATCCCACCTGTGCAACAAGTCCAGTCTTGGTATTTCCTCAATTAGTGGTATTATAACAAAGTGGAAGTGACTGGGAATGACAGCAACTCAGCTATGAAGTGTTAGACCATGTAAAATCAAAGAGCGTGGTCAAGCAGATGCCGAGTACACCGAACTTGACACCTTTCTGCAAACCTCCAAACTTCACGTGTGTTCAGATTAGCACAGGAACAGTGTGTAGAGAGCTTCATGGAATGGGTTTCCATGGCCGAGCAGCCGCATCCAAGCCTCACATCGCCAATCACATTACAAAGCCAAAGATGCAGAAGTGTAAAGAACGCTACCACTGGACTCCAGAGCAGTGGAGATGTGTTCTCTGAGTGACAATTCGTGCTTCTCTGCCTGGCAATCTGATGGATGAGCCTGGCTTTGGCAGTTGCCATGAGAATGGTCCAAGACATTTTGGAGAATTTCATTTTCCCAAGTTTGTGAGAAAAGTTTGGGGATGGTCCCTTCCTGTTCCAATATGACTGCACACCAGTGCGCAAAGCAAGGTCCATAAAGACGTGGATGAGCGAGTTTGGTGTGGAAGAACATGCACAGAGTCCTGACCTCAACCCAGTAGAGCACCTTTGGGATGAATTAGAGCTTAGACTGCGATCCGGCCTCCAACATCAGTGTCTGACCTCAAATGGTCAAAAACTCCCACAAACACACTCTGAAACCTTGTGGAAAGTCTTCCCAGAAGAGTTGAAGCTGTTATAGACGTCACTCGAGTTCATATGCGTTTGAAGGCAGATAAGCAAATACTTTTGGAAATATAGTGTAACATCCACATGAAGGCCAGGACAAGCATGGTTTCCCGGCAGAATCTGTTTGCCCAGATCATCACACTTCCTCTGATGCCCTCGTTGGTTCACCGGCTGTCCTTCTGGATCCACTTTTGCTCATCATAGCCACAATATTCCACAAGGCCTGCCATTTTTGACATCCTCTGACTCCCCCTGGAAAAGTCTCTTAGATCCTTACATTTTCCCAATTTTCCAGCTTCTATCACCTCACCTTCTAAATTTCTTCCTTTGCTGACCGATGTATATCTCACCCCCTAACAGGTACTATCATGACAAGAAAATCACTTCGCCTATGAGTGTTTTAGTATTGTGGCTGATAAGTTACATCATGGTCCCCGAAGTCCATCATAAAGAAACACTGAAAAATTCTGCATGAAATCATTTTGTCTGACACTTTGGAACCACAATTAGCTTTAAAGGATTTTTAATATAGGGAGGAAACAGAGAGGTTTGCTGGCTAGTCGAGAAGTTGACACGAGAAACAGTTTAGACTTCACACAGCCACTATATATTTGTAATTGTATCTCTGTGTGTTGGCGTGTGTGTGTGTGAGAGAGAGACGGTGTTGACCTCACATTGACTGGGTGGAGCTGGTGTGCTGTGTGTATATTGGCGTCCATCAGCAGAGGAGCTGTTGGGGAAGATGCTGTTTTCTCAGAGGGATCAGCCACAGGGCTGCTGCTCCACTGAGGCAAAGAAAGGGAAACACACACACACATGATATTATGTAAGTGCAAAGAAGGGGAAAAAATCAGTTGATATTGAGACACCAAATATTGATATTTTATGAAATAAATTAAAATATACTGGGAATAGTACGAATACGTACACCATCCTGAGGTAAATTACAGTAAATCCACTAAACTGATAAACCATCCAACACTGGGCACACTTATCTTGACTGTGGCGGAGGTGTGGTCCCTGGGTCAGCTGCAGGGGAGGGGTGGTACAGTGAGCTCAAGGAGCAGTGCTAGGGAGGCTGGAGCGACAGGTGGACATGATCTAGCTAATCAGGTTTCTCCCTTTTTATAGTGAGGTTGGAGATCAGAGACGGGATAGTGCGAGACAGCTGGAACGCTAGCAGGCGCTTGTGCCGAACCAGGGAAACAGTGTTTGTGTGCAAAATCAATAAAAACCATTAAGCAACACGGGAACAGTGTGTTGGGTCTCTACAAAATCTCTATCTCTGGCTGTCTGGTGACTCTATGGAATTTTTTTCCCATTCTGTGTCTGATTGCAACTTTTGACTGGAAGGTGATTGCACTGGTCGCCTGGTAGGAGGCAACGTTTCTCCAGACAGTTGCAGTCTGACTTGCACCGACTACAATCACCCTCAGATTGCTAAAGGTTTGCAAATAACTGCTGTGTGATTTATAAATGCAGACAGATTGCATCAGTCTCTTCTGAACAGTGTAAATGAGTCTTTATCAGTGAGCGCAACTCAAGGTTGCTTGACTCAGCGGCCGTATTCTGGTTTCAGGGAAGCAGGACAGCAGCGGATATGTGATTTTTGATGATTTATCTCAGGGAACTGTTCTATTATTGGAAACAGATTGCATATAATTGCCAACTTGACCCCATTCATTAGCAAACTGACATCAGACTGACTGCATCTTATCTTATGCATCAACAATGTCAACATGATATATTAAAGGAAGTAAAAAACATTTGTCTTTGATTTGTTCTTGTTCTTATCTCTCAAAGTGAAAACAACACCAATGTGATGAAGCTGCAACATAACGCTTCTGAAAATTGTTTTTTTCTAAGCTTTGATTTTAGTTTGGTGGGAAAAGTCTTTTGAACTCTGTGTCTGTGACAGTTTGAGTGGAAGCAGCAGGAGGAAAAGTGAAGGTATGTTTCTAATAAACGTTACCAATGGACTGAGGTTTAGCGGATCAGAGACAGCTCTGTTAGCCTCTGCTGATAGAACCGCCTGCCAAGCAGTCTCAGGAACATTGTTATTGCATCACTCTCCTTGTATTTAACTTTTATGAGAGACCATTCAAGACATGCATGAGAGGTAAGGGAGAGTTTATTATGCAGACAAATCAGTGCTCTTGTACACCACAGTGTCAATGCAACACGTGGTCTGACTACGATTTTCTGGCTGCACAGCAATCAGGTGTCCCCTTCATGTGGGACTCAGCACTTTTGTTTCTTGCCTCTCATCCCGCACGTCCCAAATTTTGATTGGTTCTAGTTTTCAACAGTTAGCGCTGCAATTCAGACACATTTCCTAAGGTTTTGCTTTAATCCAGAGGTTGTTAGACTGTCATCTGGGGTCAGCCTGATCTCACTGCCCACACAACAGGGAAGAGCATGAGTCACCACAAAGCTGGCACGCTCCAGTGGAAACTTCAACAAAGAAAAAGAAATGCAGCTACAATAAGATTAGGAAACTAGGAAAAGCCAGTGTGAGAGTTTTTCTCTTTTAAACAGGAGAGAATGATCTTGAAGCGAGGAGCACATGTGAATATTACAATGTGCTGCCCGTGATTCAAAATGTGATGGAGTCTGCATGATTTGTGTGATTTTCTTTTTTTAATATTAGAAATACCATAATATCAAACAATTTCATCATTAGTAACATACTTTTTGACACTTATTTATTTTATTGGGATCTTTTTTATCCATGTACAGAAAGTGAGGTAGGGAGGTCAGGAGTGGGAAGGCTGTATTCTGTGGGTGGATGTAATCACTTCAGTCAAGGCACGCAAAGAGATGAGAGTCAGACTTTATGGCTGTTTGGCTTGGCTTTAAGATGCTGCACTTCATGCAGTCAAAATTATTTTTCCATTTTCACAGTGTTGAGTTTAATCTGACTCAGTGTTGAATGACCAGTATCTAGGGAATTTGTAAAAGTAAGACGATCTTATTTTATATTTGGGAAGGAATCATTTTTGGCCTTTTGAACAACTGCACTAGGCTACTGCATACTATGCAGCAGGAACGTGAGAGCAGATGGTTCCATGATCCACTCTTGCTTTCCAGTGTTTTCCTTCTCCTGCTATCCTTTTTCCTTTCTGTTTTGCTCTCTCTGCACTGGTGAGGGGTAAAGACGAAACATTAATCTCTCCCCTACAGTATACACACCCCGGCTCCGCAGTCATTCTAAATCCACCGCCTGCTATCGTGCTATTTACACTAAAGTCTTGCAACTGTTGCTGGCTGTTTTATGTTTCCAAATGGAAAATTTAAAAATTAAACATTTTTAAAAATTTGAGCAGAGCAACTGAAGCGACAGGACAACATTGGCTGAGATATGACAGAGTAATAAACACATTAGAGGGTTACCTTAGCCTGAAATATCTGCTAGCAATCAACCGCCATCTTCAAAGGAGGACATAATGGGCAAATTTCTCCCTGTGTGGACACAACTTAACTTTATTTAGACACCCTTCCCCACACCTTGCAGGCAACACTTTTTTTTTTAGACGTTTTATTTGAATCAAGGTCTCCTCAATGAATGTAGGTGTCATTATGTGTCCACCTGTAGTTGAAACAACAATCTGTGAGAAAATAGCTGCCAATTCTGATGAAACGACAGCATAAACCTGCATCAAAACTAAAATAAAAGACTGCATAAAATAAATAGTAGAAGCAGGAAGTCATCAGTGTATAACAACAGGTTCAGGTTAGATGGCATAAATTTTGTCATTATCTCTCCTGCTGCAGCTCCTCTGTTTTCTACAGCAGTGGCCCCCAACCCCCAGGCCACGGACTGGTCCGTGAGTTGTTTGGTACCGGGCCACGAGAGCTGAGGCTCGGGTGTGAAATTTTCACAGTTGTTATTTTTTTTTTAAATCGTTTTTATCATTAACTTGGTTTCCCTGGGTCTTTTCCCGTGTGTGATGAATAAATCTTAATGTTTTGGCTACCGGTACTGGCTTTATTTTGTTGTATTTATCTGTGACACCTTAAAGGCCGGTCATGTCGGACATAAACCGGTCCGTAGTGCAAAAAAGGTGAGTTTGATGTCTGATGTCAGTTTGCTACCTGCTCTACAGGTCATAAATCAACAAATGCAGCTTTAAAATCCACCACATTTTGTGTTGTTGCACTTTTTTGTTCAAGGTAGTTTGTGTAAATACATGCACACGGATCACAATCTACTACAATTAATTGTGGTGTGCCACAGGGTTCAGTCCCGGGACCTCTGCTCTTTATTTTTTTTCTCCTTCCTCTCTGCAGTATTTTCAGGAAATATAACATTTAGGTTCACTGCTATGTAGATGACACACAGGTTGCTGTGAATGTCTTACCAACGCTCTAATGCTGCCCAGCACTGCTGTGGTGAGTATTCCTGTGAAGAAGGCCACGAGGTTGAGGCTGGCGAGGGTCCAAATTAAAATGTACACTGTAAAGACTTCCTCACAGCTTTCTACTCCAACAAATTCATAGTAGTTGCTGAGGTAGCCTCCACTGCATAACAAAGCCACAGAGCAGGTTAGTTCCAATGATTTGTAAAACATAACACATAAAAGTCAAACAGATTATCAGGATATTTGTGACTGAAGTTCAGACTTTCAGCTTTAACTGAAGGGGTTAAAGCCTTATGGTGTTGCTGAGCTGCTCAATCCATTAATTCATTTTAACAATGATTTGGTCACTCCCATCTCTCTGTCTTGTAGGTTTATTTAGTTTTTTAATGATGACCTAACTTATCTCTGCTGACAACTCATTGGATGTCGAGCTCTCCACTGAACAGCAACCAAATGCAATTTCAAGAATTTGAATCAACTTCAGATGTTTGCTGATTTTGTCATGGAGTAATAAGGAAACCGGCTTTACCTGACCATAAACCTGCTCGTCTGACAACTATGTGATTACTTTTGGGCATTTCACAATGGGGATTGTATAAAATCGACTATAATGCATAAAGAGTTAATGCAGTACTTTGGTTAAACCCCTTGAATTAAAGTTGCAAATTTACACTTTAATAGTTTGATTTAAAGTCCACTGTGATGGTGAACAGAGAAACCTCAAAAAAAGGTGTTTTTGCCCCAAAACGTATGGATGTATATGAACGTGTCTATCATTTTGTTCAATCTGTGATCACATGTGACATAGATTACTGTATACTAATGATTAAATGTCTCACTTGGCGCAGTCATACAGGTCGCAGCAGTAACAGGTTCCACTTCTTACCGTCATGGTACAAGACTCCTTTAGACTCCAACACGACACCTGGGCAGCGAACCACAAGCTCACAAACATACAGACAACACAACTGGAGGTTTATCATGCACATTCAAATCTATCCGGACTGGTTGTGACTATGTATCCGAATTAGTCACAGGATAATGTTTTCCTTCAGCGTGTCTCTACTCACAGAAGTGTAGAAATTCTCATAGATGTAGCAGTTGCCGCTGCTGTAATACTGACATCTCCCTGCTTTCAGTGGCCGCATGTCCTGGCAAAAGTTAACATGAGAAACAATCCACAACATTTCACCCAGAACCATTCAAATCGATCTTTATTCGGTGCAAACAGTGGTAAGTTTGACGTTGAATAAAACTGTCTTTTCCAAAATTCACTCAGTCCAATTTGAAACTAACACGAGGTTCAGTTCAGAGTCATCGTGGACGGATTCGGTTCATTATGGTTAGTGGAAAGGAACAAATCACATGGTCAGGAAGGGAAAATAAAGTTGTAGACTTATTCCCAGCACTGACTTTGGTGTAGTGCGTGAGATGAATTTTGGGACCAATGCTGAGTGGAAATATCCACCTCATGGGCCAGATTTACAAAAAGGGGGCAAAGTAGCGCGTGAATGGGAAAATGTGAAAATTATCTGTGCCGTCACCAGAATGATGCCGGCAAACACGGCAGTCCAAACGGCTGGTCAGCATGGTCCTTTATTATTGCTTTGCTTCACAGTCTTCGGTTAACTGTGCAGCCATCTGCTGAGGTTACAAGTAAGTGTAGGTATCTCACCATATTTAAGGCAATGCAGACGCCGTCGATCACCAAGCACACAGAAGAGACGACGATCCCGAAACTGAGAAAGACGATGGCAGCGGTCAGCTGGAGGAGAAGCAAAGGTGAAAACACAAATGAGAGAGCTTTAATGTGAGATTTGTGCCAGATGAAAGGCTGGAGGGAAGCCTGACAGGAATGCAGGGAAAAGCTGAGGAAACGTTTTTTCCTTTCTCTCCAACAGATAAGCGTTTTTTCATGTGGATCATGTATCGTAGGTGTGAAGCTATTAGGTTTCCTCACAAAGCACTTAAAACCGTGTTTTTTGAAAAAACAAACTTTGAGAGGCGTAAAATATTATGAAAGACATTTTTTTTAAAGGTGGAACCTGTTAATTATATAAACAGTACTGTGCAAAAGTCTTGAGCCAAACTTAATTTCTTTATATTTTGCCAGGAAAATGGGAAATAGGTGCATCGGTTTACTGAAACATTTGGAAACAGACGTGGAAATACAGCATATGAGGCAAAAACATCATGTGGATAATTCCAATGAGCTTTTGAAGTCAGTCTTTGGTATGACCACCTTTATTCTTAACACAGGCTGAACTCTCTCAGGCAGCTTTCTTGTCATTCAGTAGTCTTCAGGAATAGTTCTCCAGGCTTGTTGAAGGACATTCTAAGCTCTTCTTTGGATGTTTCTGCCTTTTGTTCTGTTATCTGTCAAGATGATCGCACTCTGCTTCAATGATGTTGAGCTGCGGGTTCTGTGGAGGCCAGTCCATGACTGATGGTGTTCCACTGTGTGCTTTTTCTATCCAAGTATGATTTTACTATTTTCTACCTCTTCTGACTTTTTCTTGAAGATGATTTGGACCAGAAATTTCAAACTTCCACTGAGATCATTCCTGCCAAGGCTTCAGTGAACAGTGGACGGATCAGCTTAAGGTCTCTCAGGTCACGTGTCAGCTCCATGCTGGATTTTCTTTTCCGTATTTCTTAAAAACACGATTTTCAGATACTGTCAATAGTTGTTTTTAGACCTGGCATTTCTTCTTTTGTCCTCCACTTGTCTATTTTATGCCTGTCAAACGGTGTTTATCTTTGGCATTTTTCACCGATTCAACTCAAAATAGGATCAAATGATGTTTCTGTTTCTGTGGCGGTCTGCTGGTAATTACAAAAAACACGACAAAGAAATGTGAGGTGGCTCAAAACGTCTGCACAGTACTGTACATTTAACAATATATAGCACTTTCAAGTATAAGCAAACAGAGCCTGTAACTCTGCAGTATAGCCCTCCTTATTCCAACTATTCATCATACTCTAAACTCACTACACCATGAAAAAATTTGGTGTAGTGAGTTTCCTGTCCTATCTGACCTGTTAAGGTCTCATCAGTAAACTTATCTCACCAGCTAAGATGATATAATCAAAATCCAAACTGGACCAAATCCAAGCAGAGTTAAAGTCGTCAACGCCTTTTTTCTCTTTGTTGACAGGATAAGCTGCTGGTTTTCACATAACCTAGAAGTGTTTTGAAAGCTTCCTTTGAAATATCGTAAAGTCCGGGTGATGAATACTTAAACTGAAAGAATCCAGAAAAACATCTATTGTCTGTTTCACAATATTTCACATTATTGCTCCTCATTTGACTAGTAAAGTCTAGGTCATGTGACGATATTCACATTTTTTTGCCTTTTTTTAAACCAACTTTTGTGCTACACTCAGTTTTTTTAATGGTGTTTTTCACAGTTTAGGATTTTTTATATTAGAATTTCTATCAGAGAAACACACACACGAGTTCAAATAACTGCAGACAAAACCAGGATTAGCTCACTCTACACCCATTGGATAAAGGCAGATCGGTGCCGCTTTCCTAAAAAAATACATTTTTTTCTTTTTACTTACTGAAAACAGCCCAATGTCAATGTCTTATAATTGGTTACATTGTTACTGTAAAATAATGTGCTGTCACTAGTGAGACGTCTTCAGAGCTTTTTGTTTTAATGTACGTGTTGCATTTATTTCTAAATCTATTTCTTTTAAAGAGACGCAGGGAGGGCTGAACATACCAGCTGCCTGCGGTTTTCTTCCAGCCAGAGTCCCAGAAGTCCCAGGAAGGATCCAAGGGTGAGCTGAAGAAATCATCCAAAGGACCAAATTTATAAGCATACGGTTTGTTACAAACCAAACAGATGCTAAGAGTTTAAAATGATCAATCAATCAATATAAATCAATACAGCCGTCCATAATTAATTTCACGCTCAGGTGAAGGTTACCAAATCTGCACAGAGTGAGGCAAAACCTTTGACTTCTGCAGCTTCAGCTTTATGATGGAAATCCCATGAGATGCTTTCCTGTTCCTCCTGACAACTTTTTAAATTTTTTTAGTCGTATCAACTAGAGATGGACCGATCTGATATTACGTATCGGTATCGGTCCGATACTGACCTAAATTACTGGATCGGATATCGGAGAGAAATAAAAAATGTAATCCGAT